TCAATGCTTCCTCTGGAATTTAACGACAAACTTACAAGTGACATAAGTTCATTTTCAATAGTATTGTCCTTCTGTCCAGAGAGTTCAGCTGTTGTACAACATTAAGCATCAACACATACATTTCTGTTCTTATTATTTTGAACACTATGGGATTTGTAAGGGTAGATAAAAATAAGTGAAGGAAAGTGAAGGAAACCCTTCCTTTTCACCTATTTGTTGTGATAATAATGGATCTATTTTGCTGTGCACTCAAGTCCTACACTTGTCATTGAAGTTCTCTCTGAACTACTTTTCAATTTCTTTTCTTCTAAGGACATACACATTCACACACATCCTGAAGAATTTTTACTAGTTCATCTAACAATGTTTTACTACTAATTCTTCTAGTCCACAAGTAATTATATCATCTACATAGGACAAGACTATTACATTAGGCCACTGACTTCTCTGACAGGTCCCTGTGTCAACAGTCAGCCCTGCAGGAAACACGTGTTCATTTTGGCCCATGCTGCAGGTGCCATGCTGTGCTTGTGTCAGACTGATGGGTAGCACATACCCTGCTCTGGACTTCTCACTCCTATCCCAAGGGGGTTGCCAGGCTTGCCTATTGCATGAAGACTTTGGCACTGCCCTCCTCTCCTCAGCCGGCTCCTTACCAAACTTTTCTTTCCTGTACCTTCCACTTTGAGTTCTGGCATAGACCATGAGCCCAACCAACTTCCATCACATCAGATGAGGTCTCCACATCAAACTTTTGGTAACAAAATTTAAGTTAAAATGCACATATAAAGTTTTGGCTGGGTTTTTCTCAGATCCCATATACAAGTGAGGCAAAGATGGCGGGCTGTGGATGCTCCAGGTAGTCATCTACTCAAAGTACTGAGACCTCTATAACATGGACTTCATACAAGGGTGTAAGTGATCCAGAAAAATGAAAGAAAAAAATTTAAAAGAACTTCTCAATTCAGTGAGGGAACAGAAAAAAATGTACACTTAATATTAAGCTAATTATGGGAGGAAAAATGACCTAGAGCTGGACAAACATAAAGATATAAGTGCTCAAGGTAATGCAAGAGGGCCTTGGGTGGTCCCTGAGAGTCTAGTGAAAATCCAGTGTGTTCTGTATCCCAGCTTCTGTCCCTTCCAGTCACTCTGAGGTGCATCATTCCAGGTTAACCTGAGGAAGAAACAAGGGCTCTCCTAACATCTTGTTCTCTCATTGGGATCAAGATTGCTTGGGAATTGGAGGTTCTTGGTTAAATACTGAGATCTCTGCAGAGCAAACTCTTCAGGGTCCTGACTTTGAGTCATATTACCTACCCCTGCTGATGATATCAGAATTTTCTCTAAAATAAATATGACTTCATTTGTATACTTTATCCAGTAACATTCACTGAATGGCTATTGAAAATAATCTAATTTAGAGCTGCAATCTTCATACAAAGGCAAAACTCTTCTAAAGCCTAATTTTGAAAAGGGCTACAGGATGAACCATGTGGTAGGACCCTTGACATTCTGAAAACTTATGTAACTTAACCCACTCTTAATGATGTTGTCTAGGGTGAATATGTACCTAAGTCATGGGTCAACACTTCTCTTCTGAGGACATAGCTTTTAGAATGAGCTGAAACTAAATATCACATAATTCACCCCTGGGACTGGTCCTGAAATAAAATGGAATCAGAAAGGGAAAACAACAAAAATGCTTAAACACATCTGAACAGCTCAGACTTAAAAGAGTATTTCTCCTATATCTATATGCACGCATCACAAGATCACAGTCTTCTCGTTCAAATATATTGGTATTCTGGGACCTTAAATTATCACTACTTGATTCCTTCTTTTCTTAGGATACTGTTTCAAGGATACTGAAATATGTGGCCATATTTTATATGTTGAGATCTCTCTTTGAAGGCCTCATTCTGCACTTTACACACGTGGACCACATTGTCCTACATAGTAACTTGAACCTCTGCAAGGACCTATGAACTAGGCAGAAACATAAAGGTATGTGCATGTGGGTTACATGAAAAAAGATACCAAACTATTCGTGACAATCTATCAGACATTTCAATATCAACTTCAATTGAGGTCAATTACTATACAATATAGAGGACTTTAGGCTTTCTCAGGAATGGTAACTTTTCTGCATGAGGGCCAAAGAACCCATTTTACAAAATATCTTCCCTGGCCTTGGAGTGCTTTCTACTCAGGGCCTGGGTACTGTCACTGAGCTTTGGTAATAAAGGCACAAAAGTGTTGACAATCTATCAATTTTATTTACAGCAGTACTTGTGGGAAATTTGGTGATAACTGGCGATAACACTCTCACAGCTATTCCTACCTAGTTTGCCTTTCAATTGTGATCGTTAAAGCTCATCCTCTTGAGCAACTAAGAATTCACATGTGAAGCATCAGTGCCCTGTTCGATCAGGAGATCTTAATTTCTTGATCCAAGCAGGACTCATGGTGTCCACATAACAGGATATAAAATTCATAACATCATATAGACATATGCAAAGTTCCTTTTGCAATCACTTGGTAAAGGATTGTTTACCTATCATTCTGTAAACCACATTCAAATGCTTCCACTAAATATTTGGAGAATGTATTGTTTGCACAGATCCTATTATTGGTCCTCAGGTTGAATTCAGGGGCAAAAATTTTTTTTTTATTTATTTTTTTGGTCCGGTCGTGGGGCCTGAACTCTGGACCTGGGCACTGTCCCTCAGCTCTTCAGCTCAAGGCTAGCGCTCTACCACTTGAGCCACAGCGCCAATTCTGGCTTTTTTCTTTCTGCTTATGTGGTGCTGAGGAATCGAACCCAGGGCCTCGAGCGTGCAAGGCAGGCGCTCTACCACTGAGCCACCTTCCCAGCCCCAGGGGCTAAAATTTTTGAGGCTTCCTTTACCTTCCATACCAGATGCCCTTTTGTATCACTGATTTTTCACCTTAGGGTCTTGCTTCTCTGCGTGGGCCTTTCGACACACTAATTTTATAATTATATATCACAAGTAGCAAACAAGATAGGCACATATAACCAGAGCCACACTTTTATTGGCTAAGATACCATTTTCATGAAGCTTTTGCATGGGATACCCTACAAATACTATCTAACGTCAGCTTCCTGAGTTGCTAAGATTCCACACATGAGGGAGTGTAATTGCTCATTTTTAATTGCTGGTCTTAAATTAAAAGAAGGAAAGGGTATGTTACCAATTCAATGAGCATTAAGTCCCTTAAATTGTGAGTTCAAGCAAAGTGTTGGCCACATGATAATAACAAAATAATAGAAAACATTAATAAAATGTCATCATCAGGCATACTTTGAATGAATGTGGTATGTTGGTTCATAAATTGAGCTATATAACAGGCCAAGGTAGGACTCCATGCTGTGAACCATACCTTCTCAGAAAGCATCCAGTTTGTAAACATGGGAGAATGAGCTATTTCCAAATGGATGCTGTGTGTTTGGGGGGGTACAAGTAGGAAGGCCAAGGGCACAGGTGCCTCCCAATCCCCCAATTTTTTGATTATTCCTCTGTAGATAATCAGAAGTGTTGGGCTGGGAAGGTGGCTCAGTGGTACAGTGCTTGCCTTGCATGCATGAGGCCCTGTCAAATCCCCAACACCACATAAGCAAAAAGAAAAAAAAAGCTGGAAGTGGTGCTGTGGCTCAAATGGTAGAGAGCTAACATTGAGCTGAAGAGCTGAGGGACAGTACCCAGGCCCAGAGTTCAGGCCACACAACCGTATCCCCCCCCCCAAAAAAAAGCAGAAGGGTGAACAGTGTGAGGCAAGGGGTTAAGCTAGCAACTAGCTAAATCTAGCAATGTGAAGTCCACTGTCCTTTTCTTGTACATGGAATCATAGGCAGTATTTAAGGATTCTCTTTGAACAATTAAAATAAATACTGAAATTGTTGAAGGCACAGGAAGCATGAGGTAAAGCACTGAAGGAAACCTCCTCTTACCAGAGAGAGATTTCTTCAGAACAGCCCACAGAGCTCATGCTTTGATTCCTAGCTTTTATGGAGTCCAAGATGAGAGAATCTACTTTGAAGTCAGCTCTGGTTGGCTTCAACTCAGTTCCTGAGTTCAACACCTAATATTGGCACAAAACATTCCTTCATGAAAGTGTGAAAGTAAATAGGGATACAGGTGGACCCATTGCAACAATGAGATGCACAAGTCGTTATGTCAAAAAATGAAATTTACAACTTTGGTGGGGGG